ATCCCAAACACTGTGGGGGATGAATGAGTGCCCCCTGCAATCCCAAATGCTGTGGGGGATGGATGGGTTCCCCCTACAATTCCCCTTTGCCTTCATTAGGCTTTTCTTGGAGCTCCTCAGTGGGAGCTGATGGGAGGAAGTGCCTGGATTTGGAATTAGCCAGTGGTGAGAGCCATTAATAATGGAGCACAGACTGTCAGGAAAACAATGGTGGGCTTGGATAAACGGCCCAGCTTTGCTACTTACAGCTCCTGCTGTTATTAAAATGGAGATTAATAATCCCCTCGCCTTTGGTGAGGGGGAGGATTTGGTGGGGCGGTTTCTCATCTTCCCTGTGTCCCATCCACCCTGTATCCCAGTGCCACGGCCATGCTATGGACAGCTGGGACTCCTGCATCCCCCTCCTGCCTCCAGACTGCCTGATTGGAGCGTGCAGGACAGGGAATGATGCTGCCTTTGGGACCCCCTTTGGGATTTTCAACCTACCTGCCCCAATAATTAAGGCTTCAGGGTTGCACTGGGGGCTCCTGGCTTTGCTGCTGGGGATTTGGGGGGACGGGAGGTGGGATACCAGCGGCTGCCAGTGGTGGGGCAGGCCTGGGAATGACGTTCCTGGCATCCCGGAGAGCAGTGATGGTTGCACTCGTTAAGCAAAGGAGCTTTTCCCCCTGCTGAGCACAGTTTAAACTCGGCAACAACTGCGTGGTGAATGATGGGAGGAGCTGGGAATGGGAATGACACAGCTGGGGCCCGGCTGGCGAGGGGGACTGGTGCAGCTGAAGCTGTGAGAATTAAAGGGCAGCAGGTAGAGGGTCTCTGGTGCCATTGAAGCCATTCCCGACCCTGGTGCCCTGGGAAGAGGGGGCAGATTATCCTGGAGGCAGCTGGTCCAATCCTTTCCTCCTTGTCCAGCAGCCAGGTCCCATCTAAGTGTCCTGCTGCTGCCCACATCCAACACTGACTCCATCCTGTCCTGCACATCCCCCAGGGCATGGACCACTGTCCTGGGGAACACGAGCATCTTTGTGATCCCACATCCTCCACCTCCTCCAACCCTGCTGGCAAAGCTCAGGAGATGTGGAACAGGGGGTTTAAAATCATAGAATCCCCTGAGCTGGAAGGGACCCCCAAGGATCATCCAGTCCAACCCTTGGCCCTGCACAGACACCCCAAGAATCCCCCCTGTCCCTCAGAGTGTTTTCCAAACCCTCTTGGAGCTCTGGCAGCCTTGGGGCTGTGCCCACTGCCCTGGGGAGCCTGGCCAGTGCCCAACCAGCCTCTGGGGGAAGAACCTTTGCCTGAGATCCAACCTGACCCTGCCCTGACACAGCTCCAGCCATTCCCTGGGTGCTGTTCCTGCTCCCCCAGAGCAGAGATTGGAGCTGCCCCTCGGGAGGAGCTGCAGCCCCTGCTGAGCTCTGCCCTCAGTCTGCTCTGCTCCAGCTGCACACACCAAGTGCCCTCAGCTGCTCCTCCTGTTGCTTCATCTCCGGGCCCTTCACCATTTCCTAATTACTCCATGCTCTCCCTTTTCTCCCTCCCTCCGCAGGCTCCTACCTGATGGTGAACTCCTCCCAGCACACCCCAGGCCAGAAAGCTCACCTGCTTTTCCAGGCCCTGAGCGAGAATGACACCCACTGCCTGCAGTTCAGCTACTTCATGTACAGCCGGGACGGGCACAGCCCCGGCACCCTCAGCGCCTACGTGCGGGTCACGGGGGGCCCGGTGGGCAGCGCCGTCTGGAACGCCTCGGGCTCCCACGGCCGCCAGTGGCACCAGGCAGAGCTGGCTGTCAGCTTGTTCTGGCCCAGCGAGTACCAGGTGAGCCCCAGCAGACCCCCAGACCCCCCCTCAGCTTCCCCCGGCCACGGGTGACCCCAGTGTTTGGTGCCGCAGGTCCTGTTCGAGGCGGTGGTGTCCAGCGAGCGCAGGGGGTACCTCGGCTTGGATGACATTCTGCTCCTGAATTATCCGTGCTGTGAGTGCCAGGGGGTGGGACCCGAGGCGGGTGGCAGTAGGGGGGTGGGTGCTGGTGTCCTGGTGCCCGTTGGGATGATCCTGGAGAGAGCAGGTGGAGTAACGCCGGGTGCAGCCTGGGTGTCCTGTTGTCGCCCGGGCCGGTGGAGCTCCATCCCCTGGGCACCTCTGAGGCTCCTCTTTCCATCTCCATCCCCATCCCTGCCAGCTCCAACGTTGCTTTTGTTTTTATAAAACCTTGGAAAAGCACAGACTGAACATGGGGCCTGAGTGTTCCCGTCAAGAGGGGCCACCCGGGCTGGTTGGAACCCAAAATCCCAGGCTGTCCCAACACATTGGCTCTTGGGGTTCACCACTTATTTCTTCCAGGCTGGGGTAGGAGACCTGCCCCTCTCTCTCAACCCCAGAACCTGCCTCTGGCAGGGGTGCCAGAAGGTGCATCCCTCCCTGGGACACCGGACACTGACAGGAACAAATTCCTGACTCTGAGCTGGAGCTCATGTTTGCTGGGTGCTTTAGTGTAATGCTTCTCCTTGGTTGGTTGTTGCTACTGTAAAACCTTTTACCAAAATGCTTATTTTCTCACTAAATTAAAAGAAATCTCCTGGGGAAAAGTCTGTGGCTTTTTCTCTTTACCTGAATTCAAGCCATCAAAGAGCTAAAGGCTCTGGAAAAGTTTGTTTGGATGAACTCTTGGAGTCTAAATATCTGTAAACACCCAGTAAAGCTCGAGGCTTCGGGACCGGGGTTTTGGAGCTCGGCCCCAGCCACGACATCCTGGGTGGGTTTTTGGGTGTGGTGGGATTTTTTCGAGGATCCCCTCAGCACTCGGGCCACGTTGTCACCTCTCCCTTGTGTCCCCTGGCAGCCAAAGCCCCTCATTTCTCCCGCCTGGGCGACGTGGAGGTGAACGCGGGGCAAAACGCCACCTTCCAGTGCGTGGCCGCCGGGAAGGCGTCCGAGGCCGAGCGCTTCCTCATGCAGGTGAGGGGTGGTAATGGTGGTAGTGGTGGTGGTGAACCCCGTGCACCGACCTGGGGACGTGTTGGTGGCCCTGGATGTGCCTCCGGTGACGTCTGGTCTCTCCCGTGGCGCAGAGGCAGAGCGGCCAGGTGGTCCCTGCCGCCTCGGTGAAGCACATCAGCCACCGGCGCTTCCTGGCCACCTTCCAGCTGGACGAGGTGTCCAAGGCAGAGCAGGATTTGTACCGCTGTGTCACCCAGTCCAGCCGAGGCTCGGGAGTCTCCAACTTCGCCGAGCTCATTGTGAAAGGTGGGTGATGTGCTGTTGGGTTTCTGGCTCACGGATGGGCCATCTCTGCTCTGCTGTTGGCAGAGGACGAGGAAGGTGGGATGCCCAGGGCAGTGGGATCGCAGTTTCTTCTTGCTACACACGGACTTTGCAGCATAAAACCAGGAAACTGCCTTTGCTGGTGGCCTGAGATCATTTATTTTTGATTGCAGTAGGTGGGAATTAATTAATTATGGTGAAACTGTGTGGCACCACGCTGGGCTGTGTATCTCATAAAGATAATTAAGGTTTGATCAGATGAAACCCTATTGCAGCTGTTGAAGCCTTACTGAGGGCACATGCACAGGCTGAAGTTTGAGGACTGGCTGATGCCCTCCTGTACTTTGGTGTTGATACCCACGTCCTCTGGGTGGGGAATCCGAGTTTGTCCCATGCTTTTCAGCATGAATCATGGAACGGTTTGGGTTGGAAGGGACCTTAAAGCTCTCATTGTTCCACCTCCCTGTCGTGGCAGGGACACCTTCCTCTAGACCAGGTTGCTCACAGCTCCATCCACGGCCTTGAACGCTTCCAGGGATGGGGCATCCACAGCTTCTCTGGGCAACCTGTGCCAGGACTTCACCAGTCCCAGAATAAAGAATTTTTTCCTAATATCCAATCTAAACCTACTCTCTGTCAGTGTGAAACCATTCTCCTTTGTCCTGTCACTCCAGGCTCTTGTAAAAAGTCCCTCTCCCATCTTTTTGTGGCCCTTCAGGTACTGGAAGGCCACAATTAGGTCACACCCAAGCCTTCTTTTTTGCAGACTGAATGTGGTCGGTTGGTGTGGGAAGAGACACTTGGGATGTGTCAACTGTAACGAGTCAACAATAAAATTGTGGCGGCCGTGGTTGTGCCAGTGTTGGCCTGGCTCTGGGGACGCCCTGGAGCTGCTTCTGGAGGGGGATGCTCCACCTGCCCCTTCTCTATTCTCTTCCAGAGCCCCCCACACCCATTGCACCCCCTCAGCTGCTCCGGGCCGGCTCCACCTACCTCATCATCCAGCTCAACACCAACTCCATCATCGGCGACGGCCCCATCGTGCGCAAGGAGATCGAGTACCGCATGACCTCGGGGCCCTGGTCGGAGGTGCACGCTGTCAACATGCAGACCTACAAGCTCTGGCACTTGGACCCGGACACGGAGTACGAGATCAGCGTCCTGCTCACCCGGCCCGGCGAGGGGGGCACCGGCAAACCGGGGCCGCCCCTCATCAGCCGCACCAAGTGCGCAGGCGAGTCCCACGGGGCCACCCAGGGCGGCTTTGGGAGAGGTCCCTTGCCACCCCGAGCCCTTCCCACCACCCGTGGGTGTGAAAGGACGTTCACTGCCATTAATCCAAACCACCCACGTGCATGTGTTGGCAGAGGAACTCGTCTCCTCGTTAACGCCGGCTTCTCCCTTCAAGCCAATTAGAGCTAATTAAACTTCCCAGGGATGGCACTCTCCTCCTTTCAGGAGGCTGACACGGACTTGGTGATAACATGAGGGCTCCCATGGCCTCTCTATCCGGTTATCTGGGGCTGCTCATAGTGTGGGTGCTCCCGGTGCCCACTGGAATAGTAGAGCTGGTACCCGACTTCACCTCCTCAGGGCAAGGATGAGCCCGTGGGATCTGCTGTCCCTGCAGTGTTGGTGGCTGTGAGACCCAGTGATGTCCCCAGCCCTGTCTGCAAGGCAGCGGCATCCTGTGCTGGGGCTGCTCCCAGTTTTGGGTCCAGGGTTGCTCTCTGCACTCACCCCTGTAAAAGGGTTTTCCCTGATAATACACATAAATCCATGAGATGTTTTTCTTCCTCACTCATCTCTCCCCGTCTCTCCCCACACAGAGCCCATGAGGGCCCCCAAAGGCCTGGCTTTCTCTGAGATCCAGTCCAGGCAGCTGACACTGCAGTGGGAGCCACTGGGCTACAACCTGACCCGCTGCCACACCTACACTGTCTCGCTCTGCTACCGCTACTTCGTGGGCAGCGGCCACAACCAGACCTTCCAGGAGTGTGTGAAGATGGAGCGCAACGCCAACCGCTACACCATCAAAAACCTGCTGCCCTACAAGAACATCCACGTCAAGCTCATCCTCTCCAACCCCGAGGGGCGCAAGGAGGGCAAGGAGGTGGTTTTCCAGACGGATGAGGATGGTGAGTCTGCTGTGCTGGTTTAGAAGTTAACCAGCAGGGGAAATGAACTCAACTCAAAAGAGAGATTTATAAGTCAGAATAACAATTTATTAAAATAATACAATAAGTACGATTATACAGACAGACGATTGGTTTTAACCCACAAAACCCAAATGTATACCCAGCACCCTGGGGTATGAACAAAAGTGGTGTTCCTTGCCCCCCCCCCCGAGTCCAAAGCAAAGGGAGAGGGGAAAAAACCTGCTGGTGGGAGAGCTGCTGCAGTCTGGTCAGAAAGTGGTGATTGCAGTCCAGTTGAGGGTGGTGGTCTCAGTCTGGTTGAGAGCGGTGGTCTGCAGTCTTCCTCTGGATCCCATGAGAGGTAAAAAGGTTCCAAACCTCCAAGTTTATATATTCTTCAGTTCATGCAGGAATGCTCAGTCCTTCCCTCAGAGCGGGGAATTCCATAAAAGGGTATGAGGACAGGAACATCTTCCCACCTCCCAGGCCTCTACTGACAACAGTTTCTGGGCAATGTCATGGAAGGCCATAGAATACACAGTTTTGGGTTACACCCATCCAGTGATGAATTGGTCCCAGCCGTTCTAACCAGGACAGTCTGCTCAGGGGGGTGCATCACCCCCAAAAATGGGACTTCATGGCTGTTGAACTATCGGTGTGTTTCTCGTGGAGGGCATCCATGGCTCTCAGCCCAGGGTGGGAATATCTCCTGTGGCATCGCTCTTACAGGGAAGTGAAAAGGGTGTTGCAGCCTCAGGGCTGTGCAGGGGGAGGTGAGAGAAAGGGGCAGTGATGGTAGTTGGGGAAGGGAAGTGCTTGGGGGCTGGATGGATGGGGGTGTCACTGCAGACACACTGCCCTTGTCCTTGGAGTGGAGTTTTGTCTGGTGGAGGGCGTGAGAGTTGGCTGATGCTCAGCTCCTCCCAGCACAAGCCTCCTCACTCATCCTTTATTGGGAACCAAAGCCTGGCAGTGATAATAACAGCAATTAAAACAATTAATGCTTTGTACTTAGGTAACATCTTTTATCTGCTTGGTCCCGATGGATCCGGCACTGCTGCATTCCTGGGAGAGAGCTGTTAACCAGGGCAGGAGCAGCTTTGCTCGGCTCCCCCAGTGCTCTTCCCCAGTTCAGTTTGCCCTGGAGCAGGTTCAGGTTGTGCAGACGAGCTCTGTGGTGATGAAGGCCCTGTTTTTTGGCACAGCATTGCTCCCGAAAGGCTGAGCTGTTGTTTTCCCCCTGTTCTGGCTGTGCCCCGGGGTTGGGTCCCTGCTGCCAGCACCTGAGTGGGGTGATGTTCTCACCTGCACTGCATCTCTCCATCAGCAGTTTTTGGGTCACCTGGGGCTCTGGAGACCAGTGGATATGGCAGGAGGTACAGGACAGGGCCAGCTCCGTGTGTCTGGTGCCACCCATCAGTGACAGGCCACATCCAGGGCTGGCCTCTCCCACTGGTGACTCCTGCTTGTCACATCCTCTTTGCTGCCCCACAGGGATCTCTCCCATGTGCTGTGATGCCCCTTCAAGGGCAGCTGGGCATCCCCCACAGGCTCAGAGCTGCCCCTCTCATGGCTGGTCCTGCACTGGTGGGGCCAAGGGGCCTCATCCTGCTCCCTGGGGGCTTGTGTGGGTGCAAGGAGCTGCTGCAGCCCTGGGTGGGTGCTGAACACCAGGAGCATCCCTGGCTCTCATAGAGGCACGTGTTAAGCAAAACCAGAATTAATCTCCAAAGCACTTTTTTAGCATGAAGAATCAGCAATTAAGGTGGAAGAACTGATAACTGCAAAGGACCCAGCTGGCCCCAGACCCCCTGAGGAGAAGCCTTCCGTGGAATTCCCCTGCATGGGACTCTCTGTGATTTTGGGACCCACCAATGTGTGTGTGATGCTCGTCCTTCCTGTTTCCCAGGCTGGAAAGCAAAACCTCCAGAGCTGGAGTGGGACTGAAGTGTCTGAAGAAACCTGAAGTGTCTCCAAGTCCCGTTTTCATCTCCAAATCCTAAATCCAGCACCCTCCTCTGCACACCAGCACTTTCCATATCCCCAACTCCAAGCCTGCCCCTCTGGGGGCACCCAGCTTGTCCCTCCCGACGGTTCCTTTTCCAGCTATGATTTGCTCCAGCTGTTCTCACTGGGCTGTGATTGCTCCAGCTGTTTTCTGATGGAATATTACTACAGGAGCTCCAGATGTCTTTTTTGCTGTACTGTAATCACTCCAGCTGCTTTTCCCTGTGCCTCGATTAACTGGGGCTAGTGGCTTCCCCCTTGGATTGAACTTGGGGCCGTGGGTACGTTCGGCCTCCTTGAGGTGGATCCATGGATATCCACCTATGGATATATGGCCTTTATTCCACGTGGGCTCGGCACAGCATCTCCCCGCCTGCCTGGGAGGAGGATGAGGATTTTTGCTCCTAGAACAGCCACCTGTTCAATTAAGCCAAGGTGCTGAAGGCTCATTAATTACAGGAACCCTTAATTGTGGTTTATTTTGGCACGAGGCCAGTTTTGGTGGCAGCATCTGCTGCTGCAGAGCTGGAGCTGCTCTTGGTGGGCTGCAAAGATGCACATGCACATCCCAGGTGGTAAACCCTGGTTTTGGGCTGGAAACCCCATTTCTGGGATGTTAATAGCTGAGCCAAACCAAGGGTGTTGTTCACAGCATCCTCTTGGACCCTGGGCAAAGTCGTGCTGGTGTGTGGGCAGGGAGGAATCTGCTGGATCCATAGGTTTTCCAGCTGGTGTTTCAGTGCTCCATATGGATGCAGGTGACCCACAGCTGGAGATTTTGTTCTGTGTGCATGAAATGATGAAACTCAACCCCAGGTGCCTGTGGAAATGCCATTACAGCATGTTAGTGCTGTGAGGAGCCAGTTCTCTCCCTTGCAGTGCATGCAAGCCCAGATAAAGAAAGTCCATAAATAAATATGTATATGTGCATATATGGATGGCAGAGGAGTATATGCACATCTGGAAGCTGTTATGTGCATCCTCTGCTGGTCTCAACCTGGTGTGTAGGGAACATGTCATGCCTGTACCTACATACATAAATATATAGGCTACATATGTTATAATATTAAGATAATATATAAATTGTGCTCTAGACAATAATTTAATGATGATACAATATACAATAATAATATAAAATAAGATGTAACTGTATGTATAATACAGGTCATATATAATACATAATGATAGAAAATAATACATAATTATACATATAGCATAGGTTATAAGATATAAAAAAAATATATAGGTACACACACTCCTGCCCCGAAGGTTTCCGTAATTTTCCCAGGATTTAATAAGAGCCTGGGTACACGTGTAGGACACAGTGCCTCTGATTAAATTAAGTTGTAAATCAAGTGGAAACGCCGTGTTTGCACGGTGGGAAGCGCACGGGAGGAGATCCCTCCCTTCCCTCTCTCCCGGCCCCGTAATTAGATCCGAACAAAAGCTGTGGGGGGGGGGGGAAAAGCAAAGCAGAGGGGCAGAGCTGCTGTGGAGAAGTCCGTGGAGAAGTCCACGATAAAGGAGCAGATATCGATCCCGGTGCTGCTGATCGCCATTGGTGATTACAGTCATTATTGTGCTGGTGCTAATTAGAGGGGAGGGCTGGGACATGTCTGTCTGCAGGTGAGGATGTTGCTTCTCGCTGGCAGTGTCTCCCCAGGGTGCTGGTGGCTCCTGGGGGGAATTTAAGTTGTGGGGGAAAAGGGGATTGATTGATTTTGAGCTTGGGCAGGTCGTGCCGATGATGGTGGGTGGGAATTGCTGCTGGAAATGGTACTTGTGGGATTTGTGCCGTGGGGTGGGGACATCCCCCTCCCGTGGCAGTCACCAGTGGGCCCAGGAGCATCACTGCCTTGGGGAGCATCCCCGCCTTGGGGAGCATCCCCCTGGGGAGCCACCAGCCCTGTCTGGTGGCACTTGTTGGAGCTGGGTGACATGGCAAAGGGGATGTGGTGACTCGGTCACGGGGCCACCTGGAGGGGTTTCCTGGAGGATTTCTCCTTCCAGACTGGTTTCGTGCTGCATCCAAGCACGTCCCCTTTCCTTCCCCAGTGCCTGGGGGCATCGCCTCAGAGTCCCTCACCTTCACCCCGCTGGAGGACATGATATTCCTGAAGTGGGAGGAACCGGTGGAGCCCAACGGCCTCATCACACAGTACGAGGTACATCCCGGAGGGCTGCGGCTCCCAGGGCGGGGACAGAGGGACATGGGAGAGTCCCACTGGGGGGATGCAATGGAGGGAATTTGGGACAGCTGCTGCTGTTGCTCATGGGGATTAAAGGCGACTGCAGCACTGCTGCTGCCCCCAAGCCCTTCGTTTGGTTTTTCCGGTGAACCTCTGCTTTTGATTTACCCCAAAAAACATCTGCCTCCGGGCTGCCCCCATGACCCTCCTTGGAATTCATCCCTTTCACCCGGATCCGGGGTCTCCCCCCTGTCCCAGGGCCGCGGGTGACGCTCTGCCCTGTCCCTGCAGATCAGCTACCAGAGCATCGAGTCGTCCGACCCGGCCGTCAACGTGCCCGGCCCGCGTCGCACCGTGTCCAAGCTGCGCAACGAGACCTACCACGTCTTCTCCAACCTCCACCCCGGCACCACCTACCTCTTCTCGGTCCGGGCCCGCACTGGGAAGGGCTTTGGCCAGACGGCGCTCACCGAGATCACCACCAACATCTCTGGTAGGTTCCCGTGGCTCCACGGCTTCTCCTCCGCTCAGATATCCCGGGGCGGTGTCGACTCTCTGGATCCCTCCCGTGATTTTGGTGGCTGGAAGGTTTTTGGTGACTGGAGGCTGCTTTGGAAGGATGCTCTTGGGGGTGGCAGCTGTGCCCTGAGCCCCCCAGGCAGCCCCCCAACTTGATGGGTCCCTGTCTGGGGAGTCCAGCCAGCCCAGTGCTGGTGACTGGTGCTGTCTGAGCTCTCAGTGTACAAGCCAGGGATTAATTGGGCTTTGTTAATGAGCCATGCAGTACTCGAGGCTCTTTGCTCATGTCCGTGGTGTCACCATGAACTGCAGCAAACGTGCTGAGATGAGCCCAGATGGGGGCACTGAAACTGCAAAGCAGCTCAGGCTGGACCACAGCGGCTGCCAGGGATGGTTTGGGGGCCACAGGGCTATGCCAGGCATGAGGAGGTCCCTCATCTTGGTCTGGGGGTGTTGCTGGGCTGGCTTGGGTGTGATTCTACCCCAGGGGTAAAGGTCACACTTTGATTCCAGTGATTCTAAGTGCCAGTGATTCTGAGTGGTGCCATCCCTGGGCACATCTTTAAGCCCTGGAGCATTTGGGTCCTGCCAAGGTTGGATCCTGCTCCTGTCTCCTCCCCTCTGCCAGACCAGCGTTGTTAACCCCCCTCAGTGCACACCCAGGGGTCCTCTCCCAACCCTGACACTTGTTCAAGACCTGGAGGGTTTCCTTTAATTGCAGTAACTCGCATTACACCATTCGGTGATGCCTTGCCCTGGGCAATGCTGTGTCCCCCCTGAGCTGGGGGCTGCTCTGAGCACATCTCTGGGGGCCAGGACTCATCCCTGGGGGCCAGAACTCATCCCTGGGGGCCAGAACTCATCCCTGCTCCCTTTGCAGCTCCCACCTTCGACTATGGGGACATGCCATCACCGCTGAGTGAGTCAGAGAGCACCATCACGGTGCTGCTGCGGCCGGCGCAGGGCAGGGGGGCTCCCATCAGGTAGGTCGGGGCTGCAGGAGGGTGAGACCCCCACAAATGGGGTGGGACAGCACGGTGGAACTCCAAAGGAAGGGCAGGACCATGTTTTTCCCAAAGCTATTTTTGGGTATTGGTCTCTTCTCCCAGCAATAAGAGGGCTTAAGCTGCACCAGGGGAGGTTTAGGTTGGATGTTGGGAAGAAGTTCTTCACAGAGGGAGGGATGAGACATTGGAAGGGGCTGCCCAGGGAGGGGGTGGAGTCACTGTCCCTGGAGGTGTTTAAGAAGAGACTGGACGTGTCACTCAGTGCCATGGGCTGGGTGACAAGGTGGGGCTGGGTCACAGGTTGGACACAAAGATCTCAGAGGTCTTTTCCAACTGGCTGATGGTGTGATTCTGTGATTCTAACCCGTGCCTGGCCCTTGCCAGCACCTACCAGGTGATAGTGGAGGAGGACCGTCCCAAGAAGCTGAAGCGGGAGCTGGGGGGGCCGGAATGCTTCCCGGTGCCCCTCACCTTCGACGACGCCGTGTCCCGGGGCTCCGTGCACTACTTTGGGGCAGAGCTGCCCGCCAGCAGCCTCACCGAGGCCAAACCCTTCACTGTGGGGGACAACCAGACCTACAGTGGCTACTGGAACCCCCCCCTGGAGCCCAAGAAGGCCTATCTCATCTACTTCCAGGCCATGAGCAATCTCAAAGGGGTGAGTGGTTGTGGGACCCCGCTCTGGCCAGTGGGTTGGACCAGGCAGAAGGCAGGCTGGGGTTTGAGGGGGTCAGGAAAAATGGGGCTTGTTTGAGATCCTCCTTGGGCCACCCTCTGGGCTCACCCCCAGTGTCCTCCTCAAGGGGAGCTGGTGCTCTGGGCCACCCTTGTGGCACACTGTGACCATGGATGGGTGTCCCATTCCTCCCAGCACCCCTGGGCTGTACCTGTCCCCATCCCGGTGCTGACACTGGGGAGGGAGGAGTCCAACCTCCCCCACCCACTGCAGTACCAGTAATGACTCCAACCAGCACCAGTGCATGGGACACCCCACTCCTGGGCTCATCCTGGCATGGAGAAGAACTATTTGGACAGCAGGAGCTGTGTGTGCATTGCTGGGACCCACCACTGGCAGGACAGCGAGTCCCAGCTCCAGAGAACTCCTGGGAGCTCCTAGGCTGCCTTTCCCTGCCTTCTGCTGCCTGTTCCCTCTGTGAAGGTGTAACAGCCCTGCTCTGACAGCACCCCCACATCCCTGGGCTGATTCCTCCAAGTCATTGATGGGACCACCGGGACCTTTCTCGGCATCACCTGCTCCAGCACGTCCCATCCCACCCAGGGGAGGGTGAAAGCAAAGCAGCAGGACCACGGCTCCATCCTCATCCTGCACAGCTCCATCTTGCTGGAAAGGTGCTGGTTATTGAATCCTTTCCTCGGCTCCGGGGTCGTTCACACCTCGCTGGGTTGTAATTAGAGCTGAGATGGACAGGGAAGATCTCGGCTCTGGCTCGCTCGGGCACTGCTGGATAATATCTGGTAGCTGATGCTGTTTTATAGCCTTCCTGCTGGGAGGCAATGGATTTGTCCTGGCTGCTGTCAGACATTGCAAAAAGGCTGGATCCTGGCTGGGGTTGTTCAAGGGTTTTGTGCCAGATGAAGCAAGAAACAGGAGAAGGAAAAGCTGGTAACCCCAGGGAGAGCAGGGCCGGAGCCAACCCTGCCCTGGGCCTGTGGCACGGGCAGGTCTCAGTCCAAGGGTGGATGGAGCAGCATTGCCAGCACTGGTGTCCTGAGGGGTTGGAGGATGCTTGGAGAAGAAGGCAATCCTGCCAAATGGTGCTTTTTCATTTTGCAGCAGAAGTTGGATGCATGGAAAGATGGAATATTTTAGCTGAACCCGTCCCTACCTGACAAATGTTAAAACTGTTGGAGACCTGAGCTGGAACCTCATGGGAAACTTGTCAGCACATACTGGGGCTGAAAACTTTAACTGATGGAAAGAAAACCCCCATGAAGCTCTGGATGACAACCTGGGAATGTTTTAGCTGTAGTTGGTGACCTGCAGCTTACCTGGATCTGCTGGGTGCCTCCGATGGTCTTGAGCTTTGCCATCCCCTCTGTGCCAGCAACAGTGGCCTTGGCTAAACCTGGGAATGCTGGGGGCAGCTCATTCAGCAGCATCTCTTGGGATGTGGGTCCCCGGGAGCTCTTTGGGTGCTGCAGCTCAAATCACCAACAAACTCCCTCGATTTTGGGGGGGGTCAAAGCACCAACGGACCGGCCTTGTGTCCACCCAGCCTCGCTCGGAGCGGGAGCGGAGCTGCTGGGATCATCCAGCACTGATCCTCCTTTTTTACCTCCATAGGAAACCAGGCTGAACTGTGTCCGGATCGCCCGCAAAGGTGAGCCCACCCTTTCCTGGCAGGGGGGATCCCACCGAGGCTGTGGCTCCAACCCTTCGGCTCCTCCGGTGGTTGGGGCCATGCTGGTGGGTGTGGGAACCAGTGCTGGTGGTGGTTGGGCTGGGTGTGATGGTTTTATTCTTTCCCACCTCCTTTCCTGGGGTTTTCCCCTGGGTTGAGTTTTCCCTCTTGATGCCGTTGTCATGGTGGGGGTGGCAGGCTGGAGTCAGTGGTGCTGACAGCTGAATCCGGGGATGGATGATCTTACAAAAGGTGGCACAAAGGGACTTGTCTCACCCCACTGGAACTGAGAGAGGGCCTTGCCCGTGGTCATAGTGTGGCACTGCAGAGCCCTGTAATGTCTTGGTGAAATAATGTGTTTATGGAGCAATGAGCACCCCACGGGACAAATCCCAGTGTTTCCATATATGATGTTGCCAACCCCCCCGGAGCTGAGCAATGACCCCTCCTGCCTGTCCTTGTCCCCTGGCAGCTGCCTGCAAAGAGAGCAAGCGTCCCCTGGAGGTGTCACAGCACTCGGAGGAGATGGGCCTGATCCTGGGCATCTGTGCCGGGGGGCTCATCGTCCTGATTATCCTGCTGGGAGCCATCATCGTGGCCATCCGGAAAGGGTAAGGAGACCTGGTGTTGTGGCTGGTGCTTCATCTGTCCCTTCCCCCCAGCTCAGCCCTTCCCCACCGCCCCAGCACTAACTGGGAGCTACTGGTGGTGATTGTGCTGCGCTGGGCAGACCCCAGACCCTCCCTCGAGCTGGGTGTCCATGTGCTTGTGCATCCCACCAGGCACTGTGCCCTGCCCGCTCTGGGACATCTCAGGAGGCACTGGAGACCAAAGAGCAAAGTCCCGGGGATGTCCCTCCCCCCTCAGGGCTCTGGAGCTTTGTCCCTCTCCCGTGTATTTTTCAGTCTTTTGCCTCTTTTTGCTGCTGCTTCTTGGCTTTGTGCTGCCCTGGTGATTCTGCAGAGATGGAAATGCTTCTGGCCCCTGTCCAGGCCCTGGGACAGTGCTGAGCCAGGCTGTCCCCATCCCACCAGCTCTCCCCCTGCTAAACAGCAGCCAGGGGACCCCAGGGTGTGCAGCCCTGCACCCCCCAGCCCCAAATGACAAAAATCAGCTTCATCTGCACTGAGATGTCTCTGGGCTTCCCTGTTGCCTTGGCCAGCCCAGGGGCTGGATCCATCCATGGGAGTGTTGTTGGCTGAGGTCTGGAGGGTCTGGCTGTGCAGGTCTCCCCCTCAGGGGTTGGGCTGGGGCCAATCCAATGCTGGACCCCTCTGGGATTGGGCAGGGGGCTGCCCACCCTGGTCACCCCTGGCTGTGGGTGCTCAGAGCAGTCCAGCTCCTCCTTGGCTTGTTTTAATGGGGAAGCACTGAGCTTCCAGTGAAATGTGGACAATCCCTTACTGAGGTCTTCAGCTGGCTCTAAATGAGTCATTAAAATTCGGGTGTGCACTGGAGGGGAGGTTTTCCCCAGGCTGATGATCCTTGGGGACCCCCAAACTGCTCTGCCGTCCCCAGGGGAATCCCCACACTCCCCAGCTCTCTGGAAAGCTGAGCACATCCAGCGTGGCCGTGGTGGTGGGGGAAGCTCAGAGGGGTGGGAGGGAGAAGGGCGAGGGCTTTCCAGGACACTCATCCCTGGGAGCGCTGGGGACGCGGCCGCTGCTTTTTGCTCGGGTGCAACGCCCTGGAAAGTGGCCCCGGAAAGCAGCTCCTTCCGTGCGGGGCCGGAGCCGGGGGGGGCTCTCAAAGCCAGGGAGGAGAAAGGACAGCAATTAAACACAGGGCTCGGGATGATGGAGCAAAGTACGTGAACAGCCAGGGGGGAGAGAAAAACAGCAGGGCACAACCTCGGCCCGTGGAAAACCGCAAAGCTCTTTGTGTCTCCGCGCGCCCCGGGAGGATCCCTGCGGATTTACGCCGCTGGAAGAGTGGGGATGTGGCACCTGTGCAGGGTTGGCTCGTGACTCCATTAGGTCTGTCTGTGGTGGAGCAAATGCCAGTGGTGCTGATGTTTTTTTTGGGGAGCGCTGCTGTGGGTGGGAAGCCATGAGTGTGGCTGCTCCCACTGCTGAGGAGGAGGAGGAGCAGCTCTGCTTCAGCATCCCGGGGTGAACCTGTTGAAGGACAAACCAGAGCCACAAATCAGACCTGATGCCAACAGCCCTGAGTTTGGGGCTGTGGGCAAGCTGGGATGAGCTCATAAATCTCCTCCAGAGTGTTTTGCCGTTGGAAAAACACTGATGTGGTGGAATGGGAATGCAGCTCTGGAATAGACTCATCCCCAGGAAAAAGTGCACTGGAAATGTGATGTCCTGACCCCATCTATCCCACTGGGCCCCTGACCAGCTCCCTGAGGGAAATCCCTACATTTTGGACACGTTTGCTGTTCACTCTTAAAAATTATGGAATAGCCCCTTGGACAAGGGCACTGTGGGCACCCCACCTCTAGTGTGGTCACCCTGAGAGCCGGTGCTTGTGCTCTGCTGTGGGATGTTGGCTCCTGCCTGGAATAAATAACCTGTGGATGCCAAAGGGGACCTTTATGGTGCATTTAATTTTCTGGCAGCCCTGTAACCCCCCCTTCTCTGTGCTGGAGAAAAGCTGCTTATGCAATTTCTGCTGCTCTCTTTGTTTGCACGCTTGCCAGGAGGAACTACTATTCTTATTCCTATTACCCGTGAGTAATTGTCGTTCTCTTTCTCCTTTACCCTCCTCGGGGCTGCCCCCCTCACCCCACTGCTCCAACAAGTCCTTAGCTCTGCCCAGTACATTTTAAGGGTCTCTTTGGCTTGAGAAGATAATGCTGCTGAGCTTGTTAGAGGGAGAAAGCAACATGAAGGGGAAACGTCAGTGACTTCGGGCTGAATTTTGGATTTTGGCAGCGTCTTGTGGTGTCCCGGCCCCACTGAGCCATGGGCTCAGATCTCCTGTTCATCCCTCCCCTGGCTTAAGCCCTGCTCTGGCTTCTTCAGAGCCTGATGCTGCCTCTCAAAAATATTCATTCAGGGGTTTTTGGCTTAAATGTCTTGAATTTGGGGTGTGAGGTTCTGTTCCTCAGCTTTCCCAGGGTCTTTGTTAGATGCCTTGTGGGGACCTTGCCCTGGGGGAAAAACCTCTCTGGTGGGTGCTGAGCACTTGTGTAGTCAGGGGGTTCAGCCCGTCCCTTGGTGTGGATTTGGCCCCCAGCATGGTTTTAGGATCACAGAATGGTTTGGGTTGGAAGGGAACTTAAAGATCATCTAATTCTACTCCCCCTGCCATGGGCAGGGACACCTTCCACTAGCCCAGGTGGCTCCAAGCCCTGTCCAACCTGGCCTTGGACACTTCCAGGGATGGGGCAGCCACAGCTTCTCTGGGCAACCTGTGCCAGGGCCTCACCCCCCTCACAGGGAAGAATTTATCCCTAACCACTGATCTAAATCTCTCCTCTTTTACTTTAAAACTGTTCCCCTTGTCCTATTACTATTTGCTCGTGTAAAAAGTCGCTCTCCCTCTGTTTTATCAGCCCCTTCAGGCACTGGAAGGGGCTCTAAGGTCTCCCTGGAGCCTTCTCTTCTCCAGGCCAAACACCCCCAGCTCTCCCAGCCTGTCTCCAGAGCAGAAGGGCTCCAGCCCTTGGAGCATTTCTGGGGTCTGTGTCCCTGTGCAGCAGAGTGATGCCCGTGGTGTGCTGGATGGGCTGTGTTGCAGCTCTGGGGCAATGGGTGGGGCAAGCCTGGAGAAGCGGGGCTGGGGGGAGCTGGGGCAGACCCACGTGATGCCAGATGGCTGCAGAAAGCCTTTGCTCGCACATGGAGCACTCCTGGCTGTCCCAGGGGAGGGGACAGGACGGGACATCAAGGATGAGCAGCTGGCAGGGGATGATCCGTGTAGGGCTGCGACCGGCACAAAACCAAAGCGTGGTGACCCTGGGATCTCACAGCACCTTTGGGTGAGCCCTGCTTGTTTCTGCTTCCTCCCCACGGCAGGAAACCCGTGAACATGACCAAAGCAACCATTAACTACCGGCACGAGAAGACCCACATGATGAGTGCCATCGACAGGAGCTTCACCGACCAGAGCACCCTGCAGGAGGACGAGCGCCTGGGGCTGTCCTTCATGGACACCCACAACTATGGAAACAGAGGTAAGGATGGGAGTCCTGGCATCCCACTGCTCCCATCCCACAGCTACAGCAACCAAAGTAAGGATGGGAACCCCAGTATTCCCCTGCTCCCACCCCACAGCTGCGGCAACCAAGGTAAGGATGGGGAATCCTGGCATCCCACTGCTCCCATCCAGCCACAGCAAGAGTGATAAATAATCCCTGAATATCCCAGAAACAGCCTGCCAGAGCTCAAGGAGTGTTTGGACAATGCTCTCAGGCACGTGGTGGGATTGTTGGGGTGTCCTGTGTGGGGGCAGGAGTTGGACTCAATGATCCTTGTGGGTCCCATCCAGCTCAGGAGATTCTGTGGTTCTGTGAATATTTATCCAAGGCTCAGTAAGAAGGTGTTACATCTATTTTAGCCTGATGTGTGTGGCACGTTGCAGGCTTTTCCCTGCCCTGTGTAGCTCTCCAAGGGCATTGATCTCATCGGTGCCTGTGGTAACTTTTATCCTCATCCAGGCTGTGCTGGAGGGAAAACACTCGTGGGCTGCTCAAGCTGGGTTTCTGCATCTTCTTCCCGTGGAGATCTGAGCTTGTGGCTGGGCAGCTTGAGGCCGTTTGTGGGCTCAGAACCTGTCTGCAGCCCCCCTGGAGCTGAGTGAACCCCAGCTCTTCACTCGCTCAGGGCTTGGAAGCTTTACACCAGCCTTCCCCAGCACACCCAGCCCTGGGCTTCCAAGGGTTACCGAGAGCCCGTGTTCACATCTGAGGGAGACTGATAACTTCCCACCCACTGGAGGATGCGTCTCCACGCTGATTTAGTTGTAAAATAACTCCTTGGATGCCCCAGTTCCAACCATATGCTAATAACATCTGTTACAGTAACTTCAAGATGCCGCTTCCACGTGGCTCTTCCGCACCGGCTGCGGGATTAAATGTGATTCCCGGCGTTGTCTCACGGATAATAGAAGCCCAGAGGGCAAACTTTCCTTCTTAATACATAGAACTAGGTGTATTTATGTGGTTTTTTTTTTTGGTTGCTGTCCTTGAAACACTCAAAGGCTGGCGGGGCTCTGTGTGGGCTGAGCTGGGGAGGTTGGACTGGCTGCCGTGGCTGGGGACAGCCCCCAGTGACTGTAAATGTCCTTAATTAATGAGGGTGAATGAATGGGCTGCTCTGGTTGGTGGCTGTTCCCCACCAGGCCTGTTTCCATGCATTTAAAAGAAAATCACTAATCCTCAGGGAAACCTGGGTGGTTCCTCAGCACCTTGCAAGTGCCAACAATTAATTCCTCATTAATCCCAGGCCGGGTCTTGGAGCACTCCTGGGTTGTCCCGTTGGTTCAGCCTGGGAGTGAGATCAAACCTCTGGTGCATCCAGCTCTGGGGGTGCTCAGCACAGGAAGGACTGGAGCTGCTGGAGCAAGTCCAGAGGAGGCCACGGAGATTTTCCAAGGGCTGGAGCCCCTCTGCTCTGGAGCCAGGCTGGGAGAGCTGGGGGGGTTCACCTGGAGGAGAGAAGGCTCCAGGGAGACCTTAGAGCCCCTTCCAGTTCCTAAAGGGGGCTTAGAAAAAAGAGGGAGAGCAACTTTTTACATGGGCAGATAGTGATAGGACAAGGAGAAATGGTTTTAAACTAAAAGAGGAGAGATTTAGATTTAGGAAGAAATTCTTCCCTGTGAGGGTGGCGAGGCCCTGGCACAGGTTGCCCAGAGAAGCTGGGGCTGCCCCTGGATCCTTGGAAGTGTCCAAGGCCAGGTTGGACAGGGCTTGGAGCCACCTGGGCTAGTGGAAGGTGTCCCTGCCCATGGCAGGGGGTGGAACTGGATGAGTTTTAAGGTCCTTTCCAACCCAAACCTTTCCATGGGTCCCTGCTTGCCCAACCCCTGACAGCAACGCAGAGCATCAGGTTTTGTGCAAACCCAGATCTTGGGATCTGGTGTGGGACCTTCCCTTAACAAATGCAGGTGAGATCTTAGTCTGGCTCTGCTGGTAATTACACAGCAAAGGCACAAACCAGGTAAATACTGCATAAACTCCCCCATTAAACAGCAGCCAGCTCCATTTGTGGCAGCGGGAGGAACACGGTGCTGCTCTCTAGCAGCGAGGAAAATTAACTGTTAAGCTGAGCTGGAGACTTTGGCAAGGTGATATTTCAACTCAGGACTTTGTGTGAATATTTGGGCACAGAGCTCTTGCCTGTCTGCATTGGAGTTAATTGGCAATAAGGTTATTAACCCCCCTAAGGTCTTGCCTGCTGATTTCTGATAGATCTGCTGGGGTCCTAAAAAGGCCGTGATGGGCTTTTTTAGCTTTGTGGTGTAGGAAGAGCTGCAGAGAGCACGAGGAACTAATTCTTTGATTACTTTGCTTTTCACATTAAACTCTCTTTATCTCAACCCACAAGTTTTGTTACTTTTACCCTTCCAATTCTCTCCCCCATCCCAGGAATGGGGAGGGAGGGAGTGGCTGGTGGGGCTTGGCTGCCCCTTGGGGTTGAGCCCCAGCAGTTTGGTTCAGTCCAGTCTGAAAGTCAGTACTTTTACATAATTCAAACGAAACTAAACTTCACAGGCTACTTGCAAGTCTCATTGAGCAAAACTGTCCCGAAGAGAGGCCTTTACGTGACACATAAATCCATTTTCCATGTACAGCACAGAGCCAGGGTGAGGTGCAATCCATGGAGACGGGAGGGTGGGAGCACCAGCACCTCCCCGGGGATGTTTCCCTCATCCCTCCGCCGGCGCGAGGAGTTGACGGGGACGCTGCCCAAGGTTTTGCCTCCCTGATGGGCTTTGCTTGTCCCTCTTTTCTCGCAGGTGACCAGCGCAGCAGCGTGGTCAACGAGTCCAGCAGCCTCCTGGGGGGCTCCCCACGGCGCCAGTGTGGCCGGAAGGGCTCCCCATACCACACGGGGCAGCTGCACCCGGCCGTGCGCGTGGCCGACCTCCTGCAGCACATCAACCAGATGAAAACGGCCGAGGGCTACGGTTTCAAGCAGGAGTATGAGGTGAGAACACCTCCTGCAGCCCTCTCAGGGGTCCCTGCCTTCCCAGCCCCTGACAGCAACGCAGGGGATCAGGTTTTGTGGGATCCAGTGTGGGACCTTCCCCTGAGAAAGGTGAGGTCTCGGCGGGGCTCTGCTGGTGGTTCCACAGCAAAGGCATAAAGCAGGTCAGTGCTGCATAAACTGCCCTGTTAAACGGCAGCAGGGGGATGGACAAGGTGGCACAGGCAGGATCCACGGGCAGGGAGAAGATGCTCCAGAGCTGGAGCTCACAGCTCTCTGTCAGCATGGGGGGTGTCCCTGGGTCTAGATCAGATCTCTGGTCCTGGCAGCTCTGGATTTCATTGTCAGCTTGAACAGGTCCCTGAGAGGAGCCAAACCAGCCCTGCCAGCGCTGTCTGCAGTGCGTCATCCCACCTCTCCTGCAAGGGCTGGGGATGCTTCTTTCCTCCTCCTCCTTCCTTCTTCTTCCTTCCTCCTCCTCCTTCCTTCTCCTTCCTACTCTCTTTTCTCCTCCTTCCTCTTCTCTTTTCTCCTCCTTCCTCCTTCCTTCCTCCCCTTCCCTTCCTCCCCCTCCCTTCTTCCTCCTTCCTTCCTCCTCTTTCTCCTCCTTCCTCCTCCTCTTTTCTCCTTCCTCTTTCCTTCTTTCTCCCCCTTTCTTCTCCTTCTTCTTCCTCCCTCTGGGCACCACAGTGTCACGTTCTTCTGCTCCCAGACACACCTGTGATAAGTGTAGCTGTAGCCCAAGGACAAGCAATTTGGCAGCTCCCAAGACCACAAAAACCCTGGGGGGGAGGATGCTGGAGAAAAGGATCCCTGGAAGAGGAGGGATTTCCCTCTCAAGGGGCGTTGGCTGCATCATGCCCATCCCACCTGGTCAGGCCAGAGCACTTGTAACAGAGCACATTATTTCACGTGCCTCTGCCTCAGCACACCCTGCAGGGGTGATTTCCCAACTCCTCAGTGTCCCACAGGTCTTGGGGATCGAAATTTCCCAGTGAAATTGCTGTTTAATCCTCAGCTGTGTCAGGAACAGGAGCTTCCCCCCCCCTTTCATGTATTGGACAAACCAGGGCTTGTGATAATCATTAGTGCTCCTTGAAAAGCTGCTGTATGTTCTTGGAACTAGT